TCACTGCCCATGAATAAATGATAATATGTTAACTATTACCAATATATTTGAATTTCTAAGTCTATTTCACAGCAGGGATCCAAGGTGAGTCATAAACTGACCTATAATCAAAGGATAGGGCCTACACTTAAGCTAACCAACAATTATTCTTTACAAAAAGAACCTCCAATCATTTGTTAATTTTTTCTTCTCTACTACAAATATTCTCATAGTTTGGGGATGAATTATACAATATGCTCAGTTTAAAAGTAATGCTCTTCTCCTTTACTATTATACTTGGGTTTCTGTAACCCACACAATTTTTTTGTAATTTTCACAAAACAACCTTTTTCAATAGCATATCATAAGCTCCAACTAAATAAAAGAGATTCCATAGATACAGTGATAGTAATTACCTAAGCCCAAAGAAAACAATTTCTATCAGCCACTTACTGTTTACAAGGAATATTAAAGTCTAGAATAGTTGAGGAAATAGATCTATATTAGACCAACACTGGGTACACAAATTCAGAAGTGAATACGACATTGTCAAATGCTATATTGTCTTTATTCTTTCCCAGAAATTCTTTCCTGTTAAAATGACAGCATTAATCTTAGACCTCACCCAACAGGTTTCTCTCAATTTCCTTTTAAGTAATGACTGACCATGTGAAGTATTAAGATAAACCTAACTTACAACCAATGTTTTTAAGAATTAAATACCAAAAGAAAAAAAAAATGAACAGAAAGAAAGAAGGTCCCAGCTGGGGAGATGGGGGGGGGGAGTGTTGGGCACATTTTTCTTTGTGACATCCAGCAGTCAACTTTGCTAGACTCGACACTAAAATTGTTCCCTACTGTCGTCCCTGTCACCAAGTTCCGTGTTCTTCCCTTTTCCATCCCCCAAATAATGTAACGTACACTTTTAACTAGATCATTCATACACTTTAAAAGCAGATTAGGTTTGTGGCTAATTAAGTTCTCAAATACAAATCAGCTTAGGCCCCAAGAGGAGTTCCCTAGGAGACACTTTTGTTCCGTATCATTTCAGTTAGTACAGAGCTGAATTCTGTTGACATTAAGTGAATGATAAAAACACAGTAAGCCAAACCAAGTGTTCTGGGAAACATTAGGTAAGAAGCAGGGAGAGGGCCCCCAGCAGGCTCTGCTCCCCCTGCTTCTCAACTGTTTGACAGCACAAATAAAGAGTAGTAATATTCTATTGACAAGAATGAAAACAAAACGATTACTTCTATACCTCAGGTTATAAAACATTTCTATAACCTGGCTTCTTTTTCCAATTAAAGGGCTGTACTTAAAGTGGCTTATCATCAATAGCTCCTTACATTCTCTCCAACAAAGGAATTTTTAAAAACTGACATCCTATTTTAATGCACATTCCTAGACAGCTACCAGATTTTTAGCCAGGAGCTACAGCAAACCTACCTTAAAACACTGAATTTAAATGAAATGTGCTGCCATTGTCTATTGCTATTTTTTTTAAACTCAAGACATATGGGAAATTCCTTTCTAGATCTGTTAGCCTTACCTATAATCATAGTTCTGCGTAGATTTTAGAGTCTCCTGTACACCAAAAGAACATACAGAGTGAGATAAAATAGTCTTCCACCCACCCCCAGCCCTCTCCAGGGGTACTAAGTTTCCTCTGAGACCAAGTGTCCCTTTTCTTCTAAAGGAAAGGAAAAATTCATTCTGGAAAACAAAATGCTTTCTAAGACATATTAGCTGTGAACATGTTTTCAATTACTGTACACCTTTAAACTATAAGAAATGTTTTAACTGCTACAAAGTAACATTTGAAGCTTCCAGGAGAAAAGAGAACTTATCCATCCATTCCACACTCTTACAAATTGTGAAAGGCTGCCTCATTATGCAACAATCCACAGAATGACTGACCAGCACCACTCCAAAGAGACTTTCTAAGGCTAGCCCCTGCCATTCCAGAAATGGAGAAATAAACCCTCGGCATGCTTTTAAAAGCGGCTCAAACCTGTCTGGGTCTCATTTGCTTTGCAGCTCAATTGGTCCATGGAAAAAGCCCTGGAGGGGCAGCAGCACCAGAGATAACAACCACCTTGATCCTGGCCCTTCCCCCAGAGTGAGCTGAGGGCTCATCCCTCTGCTTCCTCATTCCCCAACACCTTGTCATAAACTTAGGCACCCGAGAAGAGAACTGGACACAGCTACTTCCCCCTACAAGCAACAGGCAAGAGAAGACCGGAGACAGCAATACCAGAAGTGAGAGACTAGTGTCTGGGGATGGGCATTATATGGTTTCTAGGGTTTCTAAAATGTCATGGTAATAAAAGGCAGAAACAAGAAACGAAAAGAACATTTAATTTCAGATGGCAGACCTAAATGACAGCTAAGTCAACTGTCCTGGAGAGAAGTCCCAAGTGTGAGCCTGGATTTAGATGTTTTTACTCATTAGCCAGGGCAGCTAGGGTGCACCATACTGAATAGAGTGGTGGGAAGAATCATCTTCATGAGTTCAAATCCACCCTCAGACACTTATTAGCTGGGTGACCCTGGGCAAGTCACTTCACCCTGCTTGCCTCAGTTTCCTCATCTATAAAATGAGCTGGAGAAGGAAATGGCAAACCACTCCTGTACCTCTGCTAAGAAAACCCCAAATGGGGTCATGGAGACACAGACAGGGATGTGAGGAAAAAATGCTTTACACTCTAAGAGCCATGGAAATGTTAGGTTTCATTACATAAACCACTATTTAAATACAATTGATTGGTATCAAACCCAGACTCAGATTCTCTCCTGCAAACAAGGACATTACCCTCTCCCCTTCCTACATCACAGAACTCACAATTCACTTGTAGTTAATTAAGAGTTCACTCAACTATTCCCTTCAAGAAAATAAGGAAACAAAAAGCAAATATTTACAAATCTGCCTTCTTTCTGCTTCTGCACAACAGTACGTTAAACTTGGAAAGCAAAGCTCCTAAGGCACCAAATACAGGTCTTCAACATACTACTTCTGATGGATTTAGATATTTCAAGTCTTGACTATTTCTGCAAGAAAATGAAATTGCTCTCCATACTTAATAAAGAGGGAGGGAAAAAAGACAAAAAGGCCTAGCCTCATCAAAAAGTGACTTTTCCACATTAGCAGACAACCTCACTTTCCCCACCAAACACTGGTGCCAAAGACAATTAAAACAAAATTTACACCTTTAATCTTACACCTCTATTTACATCTTTATCATTCTGGAGCATACATCTTCCAACACACATTGGCAACTCACAGCCTGAGTGGATCCCTGATGGATACATAAAATTATACCAAATACATTCAAAGGTCAGGTTATATTTCCTACATAAGCTACAGGTTCTCAGATTCCTACATCTATAACACCTGATATTTAAAGGCTATTTTTAAGCCTCCTTCAATTTAGAACAGACTTTCCTCAGTCATAAAACCAGATTTAAAAGAAAGTTCCTTCACATCAAAAACAGTTTCAAAACAAAGGTACACGTGTGGGTCTGTATCCATAAGCATGTTTTAAAAAAGTAAAAAGGGATTCGACCACACAGCGGGAGGCCATCTACATAATGTTTATTCAGGTGTCGGCCAAGCAATAAAGCCACACAAAACAAAACATGTACACATACACATAAAAAACCCCAAAGTCCACAACTAGTCATGATATAATATAGACACCAATTTCTAAGGTACACAAATTAGTGATCTCATTCCATTTCAAAACAGGGCTCTGAGCTACCATAACATATTACTTCATTACTGGACAAGCTGAAGGAACCTTTCAACACTTTTACAGCCCATGACCATTATGGTCAGAGATAAAGGAAGCATCCCTTAGGAATGGAATCAAGATGCCTAGAAGATAAACTAAAATAAAAATGAAAAGTTCACAAAATGTGGATTTATCCTGTTGATACTGAAAGAACTGTTTTAATCGTGAGCCTGCTTTGTATTAAGCCATTCCCCTGAAGTCAGCGCCCTAATACTTGGAAATCAAGAGTGCTCAGCTAGGTTCAGAACAGGTGTCAATTTTTCACCGGACCTACACTTGTCACTTTCAGCTCTGCCAAGGAGCTGGCGTGGTCCACCAGGGGCACAGAATCAGAATGGGAGTAGCAGAGAGCGGAGGGGAGGCGCAGGATCAAAGGAGGGTCTTAGAGCTTCAGCCTAAACCACAGGGGTCTGGAGTCACACAACCTGGAGAGAGGAGGGGGCCTACGTGTCAGTTGACAGGAAGAGAAGAAAGAAGGCATCCTCACCCAAAAGGGCTGCCTTTCTGCCACAGAGAACAAGGATTTGGAAAACAAGTATGTCAGGGACTCCCCAAAAAGCGACTTCCAGGATGAGTGAAGGAAGAAGGAAAGACCCCGAGAAGGGAAAGCCGGTCTCCCCCAGGGATCCCAGGGACAAGGAGAGACCAAGTCTGAGCCCCGGCGACAAGGGGGAGGGAGGGAGGGAATTGCCGGCCAAATGAATGAAGCCGAAGTTGCGGCAGGTGAGGACGCAGAGAGGTGCCTAGCACAGGTCGGGGGCGCCATCCCAGCCCGGCACAGGCTGACCACTGAGGCACAGGGGGCGGAGTCAGGTACAATCGGACGAGATGTCCTGTTCCCGGGGCCCCTCACCGCCCCTCGGCTCTCCGCGTCCCTTCCCCTGGGGACCCGCGCCGTGTCCTCCCCGAGAGCCGGGGCCGGGCGCTCAGAGCAGGGACTGACCTCAGAGCGGGGAGAGCCCCCCCGCTTCGGCCGTGCCCTCCGGGCTTCTCCACCCCCCACCGGGTCTCTCCCGGCTTTCCCCCTCCCCTCCCACTCCAGCAGGCCGGCCCGAGTGGGATGCGCGGCCAAACTTTTCCACGCCCTGTTGCCTAAGCACGCCCCACGGTTCCCAAGCCGCGGGCTTCTCTGGCCCCCCCCCGCCCCGCAAAAGGGAGTGGAGGCACGGAGCCCCGCGGGGCCACACCCTCCACTCCGGGCGATCCACGGAGCCTACCCACGGCCTTTACCTTCATTTTCCATCGAAAATGCCCCGGGGTTGCTGCTGGCTACAAAGTCTCGGGGGTCGGCGGCCGGGGCGAGCGAAGGAGGAAGAGGAGGAGGAGGAGGAAGGAGAAAGGGCCCCGCAATGCCCGCCGTCACCCCCGCGCGGCGCGGGCCACGCGTCCCACGGCTGCTCCCACCACCCCCTGCAGCGGCAGCATCTGCAAAAGAAACCGGGAGAAGCGGCGCTGGCGTCGGGGCGGAGGCGACACCCCCGCCCCCAAACACGCACACGCGCGCGCCTGCTCCAGCCTCCCGCCCACGCCGCGCCCCTCGGGGGCTGCTCCTCAGAGGAAAGGGTCGCCCACCCCGCCCCGCTCTAGGGATGGAGCGGCCCCCCAGCAGACGAGAGGGCGGAGCCCCCGCGCCCACGACACTCCTCCCGGACACGCGGGGGACGGTCACGCAGGCCGACGCCCCCATTTCTCCCCCCTCCCAACCACGCTGAGCGCGCGCCCGCGGGCCCCGCGTGCTCCCTACTCACCCCCCCGTCTCCCCTCCCTCCTGCGCGCGCACCCCGGCACCCCCAGAGGGGGCAGCCCCCGTAGACTCACCCGCCGAGAGAGACCCGGAGAGGGCTGCGGGGCGGGGCGGTCCGGAATAGGGGAGAAGAGGAACGCCCCGGGCTTCGAGAAGCGAAGCCGGCGTGACCGCGCGTGCGCGCGCTCCCGCGGGCGGAGAAGCGGCGGGAGGGAGCCAGAGGAGGGAGGAGAAAGGAGGAGGGGCTCCGATGACGCTCGCCGCGCGCGCGCGCGCCTGCCCCGTCCCGCCCAGGCCCCGCCCCCGCCTCCAAGCCCCGCCCCTCCGGCCTCTTCAGTGTCTCCCAGGACCTCGGACCGCTCGAGCGAGAGAAGCGCCCGCTTCTCACTTCCGCAGCAGGAACAGGGAGGGGCGGGCCTAGCGGCGGAAGTGACGTGAGGGTCTGAGAGTTCTGTGGCCCGACCTCTCCCCTCCTCGCCTTCCCCCTCTTCCTCCTCCTCCTCCCACCCCTCCTCGCTGACCCCGGCCCGCAGCCTCTGCGCAGTCGAGGCCCGGGCTCGCTCGGCTCCGCTGCCCAGTGCCTTCCGCGGAGCCTTGGCGAGCGCCCTCCGCCCTCCGCCGCCAGAGGGCGGGCGAGAGGCCGCCGGAGCCACCGCCCCCCAGGGCAGAGGGTCGCCTCGCCCTGCGCGCCTCTCTCCGGCGGCTCTCCTCGGGAAGGGCCCGCGGGACCGGCACGGAGGGAGTTGGCTGCCCTTGCCCCGAGGATTAGAGTGGGGGGGACATGGACAAGCCCACCCCCGCCCCCGACACTGCAGCGGACAAGTGGAAGGGTCCCTGCATCCCGCGCCCCGCCCCACTCGTGTCCATGACCTTCCCCCCCCTCCCCCGCCTGGGCGATGCTCGAGGACCAGAAGGCCTCCCACCCGCTCGAAGCGAGGTCGCTGGTGCCCACGTCCACTAGAGGGCAGCACACCGACGACCCGCCTGAGCGAGGGGCTCGAGAGTTCTCCTCCCACCTGAGACCCTTCCCTCCCCGAGCAGCCCCCCCGGAGAGTCCAGGCTCGGAGCCCGTGACGTCCCCAGGCACAATCTCGAGAGATGCCCCCTTAACACGAGTGGGCCAGGGCCGACCTTGGCATCCCCACGCGCAACAAAACACAAGTGCCTCAAAACCTTGAACCCGCCGTGCCAGCCCAAGACCACGAGAGCTCATTCATCAGGGTGATTAGGCTTTCATTTAACTTGGCGCCCTGAAATTGTGCAGGGAGGAGGAGGAGGAGGAGGAGGAAGTAGAAATAAAGATCTCTAGTCTAAACAGTTGACTCAACATTTGCCTTGCCAGGCGGTGGTCCGCTGGGCAAGTGGTAACCAAGGGAGAAGTGCTGTTTAATGCCATGTGCAAGGACATACGAGGAGCAGCAAAGAGTATCTACTTAGCAGTTTCGCTTAGGAGATTACAGTTTGAATGGGACACGCATGAGGTCACATTGTGTAACAATGCCACAGGTTTGCCCCCCACCTGAGAATAATATGGGCGCGGTATTACATAATAATTATTAGTATTATAAGTCAGGGGACAATTACTAGTTTCACAAAAGGCCCTACAATGAGTCCTTAAATTAGCCAGCTCCTTCTCTATCATATTTAAAATAAGGTTTGATAGAAGACAACTGACATGAAATTTTTCAGCAACATACTATATAAAAGTAAAGTGTACCAGCTTTAGCATTTAAGAAATAATTCCTCTCATAACTTGGCTTTAGATACATAAGCTAAAGGAAAGGCCTTAAGACAAACACAAAAAATCTTGTATTCAATTTGGTTAAACCAAAAAACAGACTGGTAGTAAAATATTGTGATCTGATTGACAGGGATCAGTCGGAAGAACCGTTGTTCTATGAGGCCAATTAGCAAGTTAGGCCAGTTAGTTTCACCCCCTAAGGAAAGAAAGCTGCTCATTTTCTATTCATCTCACAAATTCATGAAATGAATCTCGAAGGCAAGAGTGTGAGTGGCTCAGCCCAGACTAATTTTTAGTGATGTGTTAATACCATCTTTTTAGCAATTATTTTAAAATAATATTTTACACTGATTCTTTTGTGAAGTATACATGAGCACAAGCTTAATTAAGTCTTTACCCCTTTTTCACCTTTCCATATCTTGTACTGTGAAACTGACTCAAATTACATTGATTTCTGTCAAAGAGAAATAAAATATGTGCATAATACACGTTGCACCTCAATCAATCTGATCTTCTAAGAATTCCTCCCATCCTCAATTAACTTTGAAACCTTGGCCTACAGAATGAAGAATTTCATGGGCAAGAAGTGGTTTCATATAGAACTTTTAGCATATAATTGAGGCTTTTAGGGAAAGGAAGAAATTGAGAAAAATAGGTTCTGCTCTTTTAGTTAAATCAGAGTTAGTCGCTGGTATTTCATAAGCCCATATAGTAAAAGAATATGTAGCCCTTAAGGGTTTTAAAAATGAACCTGGGTAAGATTCTATTAAGTAGTAATGTTAAGCACTTTTAATAAAAAAAATGGGCCTTTAGGGATTGCTATATATTCCAGCCAGAGGTTAATCTTAAGAGATACCTTTACAGGTAGTTGACTAAAAAGAAATTTGTCCCTTTTAGTATAATTTTATTAAAAACGAAAACCAAGGACATGATTACTTTAAAAAAAAATTGCAACAGCATAACCAAAATATTTTCTCCTACAGAAAAATGGCCATCTTTTGTGCCACATTTTAAAAATATACATTCTTGCCAGAAAGAACTCTAATATAAAGTTAGTATCTAGCAGCAGGCAGTAGAATTGCTACATACCTCTGTGGTGTAAGAAGTATTCAAAAGAATAAAAATGTGAAGGAGACATAGAAATCTGAACAAAAATGAGCTCTTTAAAAATATACGTAGTTAATAAGACAACCATGAATTAAGCTTAGACCAAACTTCTGTTTATATGCAAATTAAATTGTTTTTGTTTAGTGAATTAAGCAAGCTTCATTAACAGAGTCAAGCAGATACTTGAAGTATCTTTTAGTTGTCAGAAGCCCAAGGGCCTCCAGGATTTCCTGGGTCCCTTTCCTAACTTGCCCATGTCAGATGTAAGTAAACAAGATGAACTAAAGAATACCAGGCTATACCTTTGTCCCCTTTGACATAAATCCAAGTTTTTAGGAAAGACAACATTTTTTCCTAGATCCCAAACATCTGGACCAGTATTAGTAACATTGTGCCTCCCACTGATATCTTCGTGTGCTGTGTTCACCTTACTTTTGTTCTCTGCAGTGCTGGAGGAAAGATGTTCAGATATTATTGAAGAGAACAAAGATCCATTAACACCTTTCTCAGCTTAAAAAAAAATCACTAGGTGTTGTTGATATAAAGTAGATTTAAGTCTTCTGTATGATTTACAGTGAAAATACACTCCAAATGTTTCTGATACACAAGAAAAATATTTTTTTCCTTTTAGTAAGAAATACCTATTTTAAAGAGTTGGTTTTTTCAAGGCCTTAGGAATGGTTATCAAAAAACCAAATTTCTGTTCTTTACTTTGGCTTATTTTGTGACTGTGACCAAGTCCAGCTGCATTGTTTTCATTTTTCCTTTTCCGCACTGGGGAGGGAGAAAGAGTAGATAAAGATAAAAGACAAAGCTGAGTAAGAGGCTCTGGGGAAACCAGGCCTTCACCTTAAGCCTTTCTCAACCTAGTAGACATCCTCGGGAATCAGTGTTCCTCACCAGCCCCTTGACTTCTGTGTTTCCAGAGCCAGTGGCTCCTTGGGCTCAGAGGTCTGCCACACCCTCAACCCCAAATTATCATTTCCCTTATTTCCTGGTTCTAGCACTTGAGTTCCTACACACTTCAAGGGGGAGCTTTCAGGACGTTTATTTATAATAATTACTATTTGAATAGCACTCTAAAGGCTGCAAAGCCGTTTTTTCATTTGAGCCTCACAACCCCCCGAATGGTAGATGCTACAGATAGAATGCCTTTTTTTTTTTTTTTACAGAAAAGGGAAACTGAGAATCAGTTACAGTAAGCAAACATAAACTTCTTAAGAGCAAGCATTGTTTCCTTTTTTGGTCTTAAATTCCCAAGGCCTCGATATAGTAGGCACTTAATTGAACTGTCTGTGGTCATACAGCTAGGTAGTGTTAGAGGAAGAATGTGAACTTTACATCTTCCCAGTACAAGTCCAGCACTCTGTCCACTACATCACGCCACAAATCCAGGAATACAGAAGAGTAACACCACTAGCAATTCACAGAAAAGAAAACTCCCTAGTTTTTTTTTTTTTCCGCTTCTTTGTTTCCTTTGTTTCTGTTTTTAACCAGAACTGTATTAGTGTAGGGAGCTCCCTGAGTTCAAATGTGGCCTCAAACAATTGCTAGCTACCTGGGTGATCCTGAGCAAGTCACTTCACCCTCTTTGCCTCAGTTTCCTCATCTGTAAAATGAGCTGCAGAAGGAAATGGCAAACCACTCCAGCATCTTTGCCAAGAAAACCCCCACATGGGCTTACAAAGAGTGGGTCGTAACTCAACTAGTTCAACAACAACAATATCAAAAAGGGAGCTCCTGGTGAAGCGTTTCTTCTATGGATGTGGGTTAGCACATGCT